AGAACACGAATGGCGTAGTGTTTTGTGATTTGTAACTGACTGTTTTATCGTCTTTTCTCATTATTATCAGCCTCATCATCTAACATATCAACGACAACAGTAGTAGTTGTCGAAATAAAGATGTGTTTGTGGTAGAGCGAGAATTAGATGTTTCTTATGACTTAGTTTAAGGAAAACGATAAGTAGAATAGTGAATACTGATTATGTATTTTATTAAAGTTTTCACATTCTGGTCCGCTATCACCAGAACAAAAAAAGTAAAGTTGATTGTGAGTTTCTGGAAAGTGCTTTTTCGTATTCAGCACACTTGACAATCCAGAAGATTTTCTATTTTTGACGGAGAGTACTTCCAAAAGTTTAGGAAAATTTTTCAAACTAATATTATTTTCCCATGCGAATTTTTTTGCACCATTTTGTTTGAAAATATTTCCTAAACTTTTGGAAGTACTCCCCGCCTAAAATGGGAAATCTTCGGAATTATCGAGTGTGTTCACTACAAAAAAGCACTTTTCAGCAACTCAAAACCAACTTTATTTTTTTCTGATGGTATTAGACAATGCTGACAAGCTTTTTTGTCTGTTTAGAAAGAAATAAACGGAAATATATACATTTTTTTTTAATTTTGTTGTTTTGAAAATCACAAAAGATAATATCTGAAAGAGATCCAATCGTTTCTAGACTGTAATAATGATATTTATGTCCAAACTGTTTTAAGTTGATAAATTGCGTGACACAAATTATGTGCATATAAATCATCCGAGTTTATCTGGATATTTATTTATTTTATAAACCACTTATGCTGCAGCTTAAAAAGATTCGTGATGTCAAATTATATAATGAATAGAAACGCACGCGTCTATAATAATCTAAGAAAAAAATAATGAGGATAATGAAGAAATTCTTCTGTCCTTCACACATATGCGATTGTACGATGGCAATATTTACAGCATTACGCTTAAAGCAAGAGAACTTGTTCACATAACTGACAAAAAGTCCTAAGAAAACGAACTATTCGGAAGGCTAATACAAATGTTTGTCATTTTTATTTTTATTTGAATTTCTTCATCGTACATGTAAAATATTTTTTAAAGTTATTTTCGATCAATTTAATCATGATGAACAGTGTGATGATCAATGTACATTTTTTACAAAAAAAATACAGTCTGGAATTTTTTTTGCGTTTTTCTAAGACGAGTGAAATAAAATATGACACATGACATATTTTAAGTTGGAAAATATTCTTTTCAAAAAAATATAAATTTAAAATGTGGAATGTGTGTTTGGTGTTCAACTTGTCTTTTTATTTGCAAAAGGCAAATTTTTCAAAACGGTTGAAAACTTTTTATTTCTTTTCAAATTTTGCAGATCAGTTGATCACGATCGCCTATACAAAGTTAGTTTTTTCTGTACTGTTCATGTTTCTTGTTGTATATATTGTCTTTATATTCTTTCTGTTGTCTGTCTACTATTTAATTTGCTGATCAAAAGTCACTTTTTTGATGAGAAAAACACATTTTTTCGGTACTAATTATAGATCGAATTAACTGATCTTACGAATAATCACAAACTATTTTAGGTAACTGTCGCATCCCTCTCATCTTTTTCTCCTCTGCGGATTAGAGTGAGCGAGCGAACGAATCGTGTTGAAGTTTTCTCAGATCTTAAGGGCACCGCCCTCTCTTCCTTGCAAAAATATTTTTATATTGAGCTGAACGTAGCATAACGTAGAGGAAAGTGTGCACTATAAAATGAGACCACTCCCAGCTCTGCACGACTTTCCTTGAAAAAGTTATGAAGTTTTTAAATTTATGAAGCTTTTACGTATAAAAATATTATATTCGGAATCAGGGTCAAAAACTGAGTCGACTAGTGTGTATTTCTATCCTATCCGACTTCTACTTTGATTTTTTTCGAATTTTCATGTAGACAAATTACCGAGACAAATTAACCCAAAACTGAAATCAATTAAACATTTCAAAATACACATTAGTCGACTCAGCTTTTGATCCTAATTTCGAATATGATATTTTTATTGCTCCAAAATCGAGTTCTGTTCGAGAAAATTGTGAATTACGGACAGAATTTCAACTTTTTCGCCTGGGATTTAGAAAAAACTTAGCAACGAAAGATAAAATTTAAGAAAAAGCTTCACATACTTTTTTTCCTATAAGTACATTGATTAGAAGGAAATAACAATTAATGCTTAGGCTTTCGATGGAAAAAACTAGATACGTTTGCAAATTTGACGGCAGGGTAACTACAAATCTGCTCCTGTTCCGTGAAACTGGCGGTCAGTTTCAACTTTAAAATTTAGAAATTCAACTTTTCATACTCAGTTTCGATGGAGAATCAGAAAAAATAGTTTTGGAATTTCAGAAAAACAATAAATATCAAAAATTTGCTTGTTTTCGAAAATTTCACGGCTTTTTGCTTATTTTCAAAAAATGCGTATTTTTAAATTTTTTCACCCAAAAATGACTTCTTAATATGTGCGAGTGTGTTTTTCCGCCCCATCCAATCATACCAAAAAAAGCGACAGCTAACAATATGTGTTTTTCTCACTATGCATTTTTTATATAGTTCCTTCAATCTAGTCACATTCCGGGGGGGGGGGGGGGGGGGCGGGGGGGGGGGGGGGGGGGGGGGGGGGGGGGGGGGGGGGGGGGGGGGGGGGGGGGGGGGGGGG